ACGTGATCGAACCATACAATAAGGACCACTTTATCGAAATCCTCATCAACGCCGCCATAGCAAACACTTCGCTTGACGCCCGAATTCAGTCCCATCGGAAGATCGTCGTCTACGGTGTTAGCTGGGACACTACTAAGGAAACCCTAACTCTCGCCTTCCAGCGGTACGGCGAAATCGACGATTGTAACGTCGTCATTGACCGTGTGACCGGGAAAGCAAAGGGCTTTGGGTTCGTTTATTTTAGGTCACGGAAAGGGGCAACGAAAGCTCTCAAAGAACCAAAGAAGAAGATTCACAACCGAATGGCGTCGTCTCAGTTGGCGTGATTAGGGTCTGCAATCGTCGGCTCCACGGTTCGATCAGATGGTGTAGAAGATGACCAACTGGAAGAGGGAGAGATTGTCGGTGGCAGTGCGGATATCCGGTCGACCATTGTTGGACGTTCTGCTTCGACACTCCCTTTGATAAGTCCAAGCAAGTCGCTTGATGAGTTCTGGAGTTATCGTTTTATATCTTCTTCACGTTTCTAGGGTTTAGGCTATTCCAATTTCAAAGATATTCAACATGTTTATATACTTTCATTCATGATTCGGTTGATGCTTATTCAATGTTTGGAAATTGTGAGAAGGCAGAAGAGATATGGATGTATTTATTCCGAATTTGTTGGCCAAATCTGTAATTTAAAGATGAAAACCCTCTTAAAGAGTAACTATGCTCTATTGCTCTACAAAATTGGTTAGCTGCAGGTGAATAAAGATGAAAACCCTCTTACAGAAGAGACTGTGTACATTTATTATTTTAGGTGGGTATGTTATGTGTATGTGATATGATGTAATTGTTTTTGTTTGTTTTAATGCATGATGCTTAATGCCAGTTAAATAACAGGGTATTTTTTCAATGTTTGATGTTTAAATTTTAATCGAGTTTTGAATCTAATGCCAACATTCTTATTCGAGTTCTTAATGGCAGTTTAAATGTTTTATTTATTTTCCATATGGGTTTGATTCAACTATATGTTTATTTTAATTTTTTTTTTTTCAGTTTTCATTCCTAGATTCAACCTATAGCTTTTATGAAGTCTAATGTCAACTTTTTTTTTTTTAATGTTTTAGACTTCATGTCCACAGATACGAGAAGAGCTGCTATAAGAACTTATTTGTTGGGACGATGATGTCTGGCCTTTTGTTATGGCATTTGTCATGTGTTTTGTGAAGAAAGTTTGGTTCTTGATTTCTCTAATTGAAATTATTCTTTGTTAAATCTGGGATTTCATAGCAAAAGTTTCAGGTTTGAAGGTGGCGGGAGATACAAAAATGAAACATAGGTAGTAATTGATTACTGTTAAGAGTTAAAGGTTTTGTTGCCATGGAAATTACTAAACAAATAAAGTAAAAGATGTGTACTATTATAAACAAAATCAATCTTTAAATTACTACTTCTGTCTAACCTACCCAAATATAATTTTGGGGACTATTTTTTTTGAAATTTTAATTATTCAGGTTTAAAAAGAAGTGGAAAGAGTTGCAGATTGAGATGGATAAACTATCTACACCCAGGTCTCAAAAGCGGCAAGATGACTCCTCAAGATGAGCGTTGAATCCTTGAGCTTCACTGAAATGGGGCAACAGGTTCGATTTTTGATCCATTATTCTCCACTTACTTTCAGTTTGTATATTTATTATTCGAAAAAATATGCATACGTTGATTCCTATAATTTTAAGAAATCTATGATCCATGTTCCAAAGTTATGATCAAGAGTCGAGATTTTTTTTTTCTTTGTTATAAACATATTCCGGAAATACGGGGTTATCATTTATTATTATTATTATTATTATTATTATATATTTTGTTTATCCATGATATTGATTAAGCACAAGTATATATCAACTTAGTAATTTATTCTATATTCGCTTTTATTACTTTTGTTTTAGTTCATGAACTTATAAAGCTAGCTTATCATAATTATTAGTTTGATACTGAAATTATAAAAAAAAAAAACTAAAATATTTTTGGCTTTTGGCACTTTATGATCATTTTTTTACAATATGATGTTGTTTAGCCGATCATAAAACATTTATGCTAACCTTGGTTTGTTTTCCAAACGTACATTAAAGTTCAAAACGAGAGGGAAGTTATTATAATTACTGTTCAAAATAAATAAATTATATACATAATATAATACCAAATTAAATACTAGCTAGAGGAATGGTGAACTTTTAACAGAAATATTAAAATAATAATATAATAATTAGGAAGGTGACCAGTTAGATAGCTGGAAGCGAACAAGGAATGACAAAGAACAAGTTGTATTATTATTATTACCAAATATCGTCCTTAAATGGTAAATTGCAATATGTATGTACACTCCTATCAGTGATATTGCAATTGCACTACAGCTTCGAGGTTGCTATTTCTGGTTGCTGTTTTAAAGTAAGTTTCTATTTGGATTCTACCATGTCAACGTTGACTAGTATTTTTGGCTGGTACTCTGTTGCTTTTATAGCATTTCCACCCTAAATGTACCCAACGCTGTATATAGGGTCAGAGCAAGTATGTTGGGCCGGATAAAGAACATGAGCTGCTAAGATACATTCAAAATAATTTAAATACAAAAAAGTAAGTAAATAGCTCTCTTTTAAAAAAAAAGTAACTAAATAATCAAAATCAGATAATTTACTAACTTTTTTCTTATTTTTTTGAAGCTTGGGAAAGGATTACCAATTACTTTGATCTTCAAATGTTGGGTTTTTTTTTTTTTGTATAATTTTAAGTACTTATCTTAGATGTTGTGCAAACAGTCATTCATGCCGTGGAGGTATGAATGGTTTGAACAAAATAATTTTTGAAGTTAAAAATTATACATTACTACATTACTGCAAAAGTCATATTTCATTCTTTTTGGTTCACATTATTTATGGTTTTGTATTTGGTAAGATTTATTTTTTTTTACAACTAATTTCAAAATTTGTATTGTACATGACTTAATCTTATAAGATACTTTGTTTTTTCTTTGAGAAAAATGTTTTTTTTAATGATTACTCTTTTTAGTTTCTGGATGCAACCTTTTTTGGCAAAGTTGACGACTTTTCAAAAGTTCAGTAATGATGAGGCAAATGGGGAAACAGATTCCAGCCTTTTGTGGCAACATTGTCATCTTTTTTTGTCAAAGGAGTAGAATAAGGTGAAATATTTGAATACCATTACAGATGAAGTAATAGTTAGTAGTATTTGTCAATTATAAAAATAGTGACATTTGTTTTGTAGATATGGATATAATCGGAAAATGGAAGAAGCAAGTAAAAACTTATTAAGAATTCACACACAAGTGCAGTCTCATCAAGGATGTTGTATGCACTTGCACATGTTTTATTTCAACATTATTTTTATAGTTTTGTTATTTTGTGAAGTTTCTTTGTATATAAATTTATCAAGTGTTATACTTTTGCCTCTCTCTATGCACAATGAAGCAAAAAGTATATGTTCCTTTTGGATAACAGTTTAAGAAGTATTGCAGATACATGTATCATGTGACTATAGGAATTAGCTCATTTATAGGGCACGTTTCAACCAGGGCCGGTCCAGACGGTGGGCAACCTGGGCGACCGCCTAGGGCCCACGTCTCTTGGGGGCCCAAAATTTCTTGGCTATGTAGTGTATATATATATAAAAAATATTACTTAAATGATTTTTAGGGCCTAAATTTGGTTCATACTCAAACTAGGTCAAAAGATAAACAATTTGGTTTGCTTGTTATTGCTAATTGAACGTGCTTATACTGAAGAATAAATGATATTTTTTTTAATCTTTATTATATTTGTCTGTAAGGGGCCATTTTTTTTCATTTCGCCCCGGGCCCCATATACGTTTGGACCGGCCTTGGTTTCAACATAAGTATTGTAACTCTTAAGTAAAAAAATTATATAGTTTACCTTTTCTCAGGTTGAAACTGTATTATGATTACAATCTCTCTTACAACACAACGTCACAGCTTCGTGGCAGATATGAATGCTACTTATTGCATTTCAGTTTATTGCATATGACATGATTAGAAAGTATATTGCTATTATAGTATTGCACTATTTTCCTTTTCTTATTTCTCTGCTCTTTGGATATATGACACTAACTTGCTTCATATTTATTTTCAGCAATTTTAAAGATGGATCACTTTCCTGTTTTTTCCAATTTTTTGGTGTTTTCAACCCCGCTTTAGCGGGTTCTTCCCCTAGTTATTATTATTATTATAAAATTACATTTTTATATTTGTTCTTACCAATACATATAAAATCGTATAAATACATTTATAAAGATATAAAATCTTTGAAATTATTATGAAAAATCCATATAAAAACTTTATACATATAAAAACTAATTTATATGATTTTATATGTATTTTTTAAATAATATGAATAATAACCAATATTATGAAAAAATATGCATAAATATGTTTAATCGAAAAACACTTTAAACTATTTTTAAGGTATAAAAATATATACAAATGTTTTCTACATGTATTTATTATATTTATATATATTTTTATATATAAATATATTTTTATACGTATAATACATACTTAAAATGTATATATGAATTTATATAATAATATTGATAAAAACGAATTAAAAAAAGTATTTGTTTACGTTTTTAATAATAGTAATAATAATAATATTGATAATAATATTAATAACTTAAAATCTTATTATTATAATTAAAATAAGGATTCAATTTACACGTTATATAAATAAAAGCATACGAAGGAGCAAAAATTGGTTTCTAGCTTGGTGGTTGATGTGTTTGGTCGTCAAGTTCTAGGTTTTGAATTCCAATCCTCCCGTCCTCCTTTTTTCTTATTTATTGTTCAGTGATGTTAGCGATATATAAACGAAATCATCCATAATATCTCAAAAGTGTATGCGGCTTAGCGGTAAGGTGCATGTGTGAGTCATTTGGAGGAGGTCGTGAATTTGAACCTTGGGACCTGTGCCTCTTCTTACTTTGTTGTTTCATTTTATTTTCAACTTAAGATGTTGACGTGGAATGTCATGTTTCATGTCTGTCACATCAAGCATCTTTCCACTTTGGTACTCCACGTCATTAGGTGGCCTGCTCAAAAGGTTACATAGGGTTAAATTGTTTAAATAATCCGGTTTTCTGGGTTTTTATTTAATTTTTTTTTGGACTAAAATGAAACTTTTCCCAAAAGTTTGGTATTTTTCTAGAGATTTCTCAATTCATATTTAGACTAATTTAGACTTGTTAAAGTTTGTGCGAAATTTATAAATCCTTCATACGAACTTCGTTCCCGGCTGGCTTTATATATTGACGGGCACATATTCATGAGTTCTTCAGTTCTCATTTAGATTGTTTCCCCTAACAATCAATCGATTTGAATTTCGATTTTTGTGTCCTCACTATTACGCTGAAATTTCGAAAAATCATAACTTAATCATATGGAGTTAGATTTAGACGTTCTCTATATGCATGCTCTCGGTTTTTTTATTAATACGACTTTCATTCAAAGTCGGGATGTGATGTTCAATGTGAATTCATTATACATTGATGAACTTGCTAAGAGCTCCAACAATAACAAAAAACCAGAAAAGGAAGAACAAGTTGATCTAGAAGAAACTTCTAATGACGACATTATAAAACCTATCAGTACTCCAGAGGTAGGTGAAGGTTCTGGAAACAGTGGGAGCTCTGATGAAACTGGAGATAGTGGGAGCATGAATGATAGTAGTTCAGAGGATGAAGGTGTAAAGACTGAAGCCCAACCATTCGTAGATCCATTAGAGTACGAAGGCCTTCTTCAACAAACTTCTTGTTGCTGACAGAGAATGGTTAACCTAGGTCTTATCCAGAAGCCTTACGGATGAAAGAATCCATATAGTGGAAGAAGGCTATGGAAGAAGAATTGAGCTCACTTGACAAGAATCATACTTGGTCCTTGGTCAAGCTCCCATCACGGAAGAAAGCACTTCAAAACAAGTGGGTGTTTTGGGTTAAAGATGCGATTAACGGCTCCAAACGATACAAAGCAAGGTTGGTGGTCAAGGTTAAAGATGCGATTAACGGCTCCAACCCGTGGTGGTTTCAATAAATGGAAACATGTACATGGCACTTAAAGAATCAAAACACAAGTTACATGCACGTGTCAACATAAATGAGATTATTCAATTGAATTAATTATATGACAATTGCACAGATAATTCCTTTCTTGCTATTTTTCTTTTGTATTTTGCTCTATCCTTGATAAGTTTTATTTTATTTTATTTTTTTGTATGTTTTTTTTTAATATAATTTTGTCAATATTTATGAGATTGAATATTCACACTTATTCAATGAAAAAAAATTATATTTTATTTTATTTTATATTTTCTTATTTAATTAAATAAAAAAGAATGATGTGGCAAATGGGTTGAATGTGTTGAGAAAGATAGGGTTTTTATATGTTGTGGGTTGGAAAAGATGAAAGTGCGAGAAGAGAGAAAATGGTTGAGTTGAGTGGGAATGACTCCCTCCACCCTTACCATCGATTGTATTTCCGGTTACAATTCTTATAAAAATTTTGGGTGTTACAAATACTATAATAGAAATTCACCGAGCATAAGTCATGGATTCGAAAGGGTTATTCCATTGGATACGTAGTTGCAAGAGGCTATCAAGGATGATTTATACGCATTTCACCACCGCCATCGCCGCTCACCGGAGGCTTCATTAAAAGCTCCAACTTTGCACACTTCAAATAACCTCCACCCTTTGGTAGTTGGCCACCGTCAGACCTCCGCGGTGCTCATCGGGGATAAGATTTTTCTTACTGAAAATAAGTTTGGCTTGCTTACATATCCCTTGGTCAGGAAATAAAAATGGGCTCCTTGTGTAATTGTGGGTCTAACTTCTCCGCCTCCACCATCGTTCTCACCGCAAAGAAATTGAACTCGTAATTGTAATTTCTCTTTCTTTATCTCTTTCTCTTTTAAAGTCTCAATAGTGTGAAAAGTGAGGACAAGACTCGAGAGTAATCGGTAATATGATTATGATTTGTTCAAAATTTCAAATCAATTAAGGCTGCAAAAGCTTAAAAAAAAAAAAAAAAAAAAAAAAAAAAAAAAAAAAAGAAGTAGAAAACCATTTAATTATTTTACATAGAAGATACTAAAGAATTTGAAAAACTTTTCTCAATACTCACGGTAAACGTTATTGTATTTTGTTAATTTATTGAGCAATTGAGAATTTATTGTTATTTTATCTTATTTTAGGTTGTAAATTTATTAAACAACCACTTGCTTTTTTTCAATCTATTTGTTAAAAAAATTATATGCCTTGTTTGAATTTTGGTTTCGGCCCCCCCCCTACTTCAAACGCTCGTGTTCCGCGATTGATTTGAATTTTGAGATAGAACTTATTATGGAGTGAAGTTTCCAAAGATATTGGCTAAGGTGAGAAGTTTCTTGGATCTAGCTAGCCACGACAAAATACTTATAAAAGACTTCGCATTTACATTTGGGGCATTAACTTCCTTGACCCTTAAGGGAGTTGTGTATGTTTGGGATGGGAAGCAAAATGCATATTTTTGCCATTGAAATGAAATTATGTGAGGCATTGATTCTTTCCTAATTCGAGGGGTTTTGATTCTTCTTTAATGTGCAAAGGTACATGATTCAATGCATGATTGTGATCGCCTTTGTACACATGATGAAAGTATGTGAGGCATTGATTCTTTCCTAGTGTGAGCTGTTTGTATAAATATATAGTAGCATAAAAATAGATCTAGAGGTCGGACAAATATAAATCCATGTACCAACTCTAATAAATCTCCTAACAATCTGAAGATGCTATTAGACATGTTGTATCGTATTCACTATTCAGTCGGGTTAGTGTTTGGACCCAAACCCAGCCCAATGATGGTTTAGATTATTATGGGCCATCTACGGTTAACGAAAATCTGCTCCCACTAGCTATAGGGTTTTGAAAGCCAAGAGGTAACATAAAAAGCCCAAGTAAATAATGGTACGTCTCAAATATTTTTTCTTTTTTGTATTTTTGTATATAATCAAATAGATAAATATATCATTAATCAACTAACCATTAACCAATCAATTTTAACTTCCACATGCTCTTCATTATGCACGGTTCATCAAGGAACACGTTTGTGTTATCATCCGTTAATAAGTATCAGTAGTTTTAATATTCGCATTAACTATAAAAAAATAAAAAACCATACAGTTCCAGTTCATATCATCATAACCTTACCTAAAAAAAGAAGTATCGAGAGTGAAATTGATCGCACCCACCGCATCCCGCGACCGCAGACAATACATCCCTGTTTTAAGCCCCTGATGCCCAGAAACAAAAATGAGACTTAACTCAAGAAATAGCAATGTACTTACACTTTTTGTGTATTATAGCACTCTGCTTCTATTTCTTTCTATCTGCAGCAATTGTACTTTCACTGTTTTTGTGAATGCTGCCCCATTATAGCATTAAACTTGCAATATTTTCTCTTATTAGGACAATGTACTTTGAAAAAACCACCTGATAATGGCACAGAAAAGTGTTTTGTAATTGGATGACATTGCTATTTTAATTGGGTGGATTTTTCAAAGTACATCATTGTAAACAAATCAACAAAAGTATATGTGTGTTCTTTTTTGAGTTGAAACATATTGGAAAACTTAATAAAGAACATCAGGGAATGAAATTTTTCTCATTTAATCCCCTAATATATCCTCATTTATTCTTTCTTTTCCATTTACCCCAAGCTTCTATTTATTTCTCAAATATTTTTTATACAAAGCACTTGATGTGGAGAAGATACATGGCTTAGTAACAATTTCACAAATAATAAAATTGTCATAATTTAACTATAATTAAAATAGTTGATATACCTTATCCCAAGCATGAAAGTGCAGATCTTCGAGCTTCTGAAAGTCAGGCTGATCTATAAAAATGTTGAGACTTTGACTTTGGTCAATGTAGCATCCACGGTCAGCAGCCATGTCAACCAAAGTCTTTTGCTCGATCTCCCAAACAGTTCTGATTCCATTTTATAAAAAATGAGGCCAGAAAGAGGTATAATTGTAAGATAAATACAAATAAAGGCAATCTACTCTACATCATACTTGTAAATATCTCTCAACTCTTCACTGATAACAGAAATTTTCTGGACAGAACCATCCTCACAGATAATTTGATTCATCAGATCGGGAGACCAAATGCCCATTTGAGTTAAATCATTCAACAAATGCTTGTTCACCACAAAAAATGTAGCACTGCAAAAAGATAATTACCGGTGGAATTAGAAGAAAAAAAAAACACCCTTAGCCATATTCCATTCCATTCAAAAATGGATAAAACAAACAATTTATTTTCATTCAATCCCTTCACTGATTCCAATTTCCATAATGCAAGACCATAAAGTTGCGCACCGTGACACTCTATGATTGTGGACAGCAGAGATGTATGGCTCAAAACACTTATTGTTTCAGAGAATTTGACTTGTGAACGTAGTTGGCATTAAAGCAACAAGCAGGGAATTCCTCACGCCATTCTTCTTTATTAACGTGCGAAGAGATTCCCAGTTCCACCTTTCTGAAGGCGTTACTTTCCACATATCTGGTTGCAAAGTCCCCTAAAAGCAGATTACATAAAAATTAATGGGGTATTAGCTATAATTTAATAAACCCAAATCAATAATTTTCACTATTTCCAAAACCCATGAATATTTCTATAAAAAGGTTACTATTCCAACAACACCTAACCTAAGTTGACCCACCAAAACCCGTAAATATTATCCAAAGTGACATACCTTACTAACAGGACTTTCGTCATACGTTGCATATGTGCCTTCCTTTTCAGATAACTTAGATGAAGTTTCCATTGCGTGGTAGTAGATGGTCTCAAATATGTCTTTATTTAAATCATGAGCCTGCATTTCAAGACAAAAAAAAAAAAAAAAAAAAAAAAAAAAAAAAAAAAAGTCAATAACCGACAAGCCATTTGAGGATTATAATTAAGTAAGACAACGATTTACCTGCGGTGAATCAAATGGCATGCCAAGCAGAATGAAAGTATCTGCAAGACCTTGTACCCCAATTCCAATGGGCCTATTTCTTAAATTCGACATTTTTGCCGTTTCAATAGGGTAATGGTTTACATCTATGGTTTTGTTGAGATTGGTTGTAACAACTGATGTGATCTGCCCAACACAGCACAAATAAAGATTTAAGAATTACGAATTTACGATCATGGTGAAATGATAGATTCTATGGCTAACTGCAAGAAAATAGCAATGTACTTCCATTAGTTGTATATTATAGCATCCTACTTTCAGTTCTTTCAATAACACCATTGTCACTTTCAGCCAATGACATTTCAATAACCTACCCAAAAATAGCATTGTTCTATAGAATAGGACTTTATAATTCGAATAATCAACAAAGCTGTAGCAGTGAATTGTTTTGTTTTTGGAAGGCTTTGCTATAATGGACTAATGGAGTATATTTTGAAAGTGCAATGTTGTAATAATGAGAAATAAAAATAGGATGCTGTAATAAACAAATCAACGAAGAGTATGTCACTATTCTTTGCATAACCCCCAATAGATTTCGAAGCCAAACCTCAGCTAGTTTGTCAAAATCAAAGTATCGGTTGCCAGAACCAATGCTACCAACAAGCTTTGATGGTTGAGATTCTTCTGAAACTCCCTGAAAAAAATATATTAAATACAAGTTCAAATGAAGCATGACAATATCAAAATGAGCTCTAATCATATTTACGAGTTAGAACCCACTTGTTACACAAGACTTAATTGAACAAGTTGTATTGTATTTGGCATGCACTGGACTGAGAATGGGAGGGACGTGGATACTCGATAATGAACAAGTTGTATTGTGAAAATACATTAATGACCCCATCATCAGATCCAGCAACATGTAACAAATACAGCCTTAAAAGCAAATCACCAAAAACATACCTTCTCGCGAACAAATCGAGGTAATGCAATTGATGCCATATTACACACAGCAGTTTCTGTTGGACTTGCATACTCGATAATGTCGGCATACAGATTTGAAGATTTGATGGTACCAAGATTCTGCTGGTTGCTTTTACTATTACAAGAATCCTAAAAATGAAGTTCATCACTAAATTTATGAAATACGAACTAATATGAAAAAAATTAAAATAACTAGAAAATATTCCATCTTATTGAATTACTTTGAAGAGTATGTAAGGAGCCCCGGTTTCAATCTGGGATTTCAAAACTTCAGACCAAAGTTTCTCTGCGTCGACAACTTTCTTACTTTTACCCTGAGTTTGTAAGAAATAATTACTACTAACTGATAGAACTAATATATGACTGGATTTACTTTAAAAAAAAAAAAAAAAAAAAAAAAAAAAAGGTATGATAGAAAAGGATAGTTTTACCTCCCTTTCATATTGGGTATAGAGTTCTTCAAATTTTTGTCCCCAACAATCAGCCAACTCGGGAGCCTCGTTTGGACAAAATAAAGTCCAATTGCCAGCACTCTTAACCCTTTTCATAAAGAGATCAGGTACCCACAGAGCGTAAGACAAATCCCGAGCATGTTCCGTCTGGATTTTAGTCAAATTTAGAACTTTATGCCCCAAATATTGTTTTTAAAATGTTGAACTTTAGCAGAGTTTCTAAGTAAGATTATTGCAAAAAGATTGCTACCTTTCTATGGTTTTTCATCAAATCAAGAAATTCAAAGATGTCATCATGCCATGGCTCCAAATAGACAGCATACACACCGTTTCTCCTGCCACCTCCTTGGTCAATATAACAGGCGGTATCATTGATGACATGCAGCATTGGAATGGTGTCATTGAAAGTTCCAGTTGATCCGATTTTGTTTACAGAAACACCAATACCCCCTGCTGATTTGCTGATAACAGCACATTTTTTTAAAGTATCATAATGGCCTTCAATGCTATCTTCTTTTATGCATAATTGATAATAGCTACTCAACTATAAAGCACATTATTAACTCCATGTGAGAAAGAAGGAAACAAATAGGATAATGCAAAAGGAAAAAATAAGAACAAACATACTTGGGGATTGGGTGTTCCAGCCTTGAAGAGGGTGGGAGAAGCATGAGTGAACCACCCTTCTGACATCAAGTGATAGGACTTGATTACAGAATCAATGTCATCCATATGAATTCCAACTGAAACTCTCATCAGCATGTCTTGAGGACTTTCAACAACCTTCCCATTTATCTTCAAGAGATAAAATCTCTCAAGAGTTTTAAAACTGATATAATCATACTCATTATCCCGCTCATACTTAATCTCATTGTCCAGCTTTGTAGCATACTGAAACAAAAATGTTACACCATTAAATATATCAAGTTTTTTTTAACAATTTCAAGTTATATTTTGCCGTTCATGGGTTAGATTTGGCTAAAACATATAAAAAGAAAAGAAACAATAGCTAAAATCCGGTGAAAAGAATAAAAGCTGCATAAGATCACACTTAAATCTCAAATCAGTACTAGCAAATTTGTATATATGTCACACCTTTATAATGGTTTCATAAACATCATCTGCAATAAGAGAAGCCTTCTGCCCAGATATCTCACTGCTATAAGAGTACATATATTTGATTCTGCAATGACAACCAAGATTTAGGCCGGAAATAATTGTGTTAGTTAACTAAGATTAGCGTCGCTTACTTTTCAGAAAACGACTTCTTGGTCTTGTTGTGGAGAATCGAAACCTCGAACCGTGTAGCCAGCTGTATTAAATGAAAATTAGGCAATTCAATTGACTAATTATAAATTACAAAGTACAGGTAGAGGTTTATAAACTTACGATAGCATAGTCTGGATGGATAACATTCATGGCAGCGACTGTTTCCCCAATAAGTCCATCAAGTTGACTAATAGGGACAACCCCGTAGACACCATAGAGTACTTTATCGCAGATAAGATTCAAATCACATTTAAGGCCTTTGTTTAGTTTTTGCAGCCGGAGAAGAATCCCAAAAGAACTCACATCCTTTTCATCCCCGTCACTCGTCACCACTTTCATTTTTGGAATTAGGGTTTCTTGGATGGCAGACCAGTTATGATAGCAAAACGGTGTCACGAACTTAGATTCTACAACGCTATTTTTTTCATTCGATTAAAACGAAGCTTGCATTTACATGCACATAACGTAATGTAAGGTTATCGATAAACAGTTGCGGAAACTGACCTGAGATGCGTTGGTCCGTTCGACTGCTCCGCCCTCTTTCCGTCTTCCAAATAGGACCGGGTGTTCGTGATAGCTTTTCAAAAAAGCGCTTAATGTTTGTGTATTTAGAAAGAGCGTTTTGGAATGGAAAAAATAAAGGTTTTAAAAAGCTCGAAAATTCTAGTATTTTAGTCATTTTACTTATTAAAAAGCAGCTTTTTTTTATTCAAATATTTTTTAAAATCAATTTTTTCTTAATAAACAAACATACCCTAAAAAATAACCTAAAAGTAGAGGCGGAGAGAACCAACGACCCTGTACCAAAAAAACCAAATAAACTGGTTTGGTAAGATATTTTAAGCCGTATAAATAAACGGTACAACACACGACACGAAAATTAAACATAAAAAGTTACGGTTAAGAATTTTAACTTGAAAATGACTTGTTTATTTATATATAAGTTTTTTGAATTCTTTAAATAAACTAGAATAATCCAAAACCAAAACCATAAGTGAAAGAAAACATTTTGATTGAGTCATTTTGTAACGTGGAAATTACCTAGTCGTCTAGATCAAGACTTCATTATCAATTTTTCCGTTCTTTCTGAAACTTCACAGTCCCTTTTACCACTCTCTCATCATCATGATTTCGTCTTCATCGTCCCAGCTCTACTCATTCCATTTTAACATCTAAACTTGATGTGACTTTGTCTATTCCGCCTCTCAACTATTACTTTTACATTTCCATCTACCCAACTCCTACTTTTTCAATATGTTTAGTGTAACGTTCCAAAAACCATAGAAATTTTTTTTATCAAAAGAGATAAAGTTGTTTTTCAATAAAACACAAGTCACCAAAAACATAGTTGCACAAACATAACATAAAATCAGAGTATCAAAACCAAAGTATCTCTCAAACATAACGACTAATGGATGATGTGTACAATCCCACTTTCGCCTTGCCCCGATCCTCAGAAGTACTTGAAACATTAAAATCCACAGATGTAAACCAAAGCCTAATGAGTTCCCAAAAATACCACACACAACAATACACATGCAATGCATGCACACATGAGCCTACATTCTGACTGGACCGCCTCCCAAGGCCTACTATACACCTGGATCGCTCTTATTGGACCTTTAGTCTGACTATACCACCTCACAATGACCTACAGTATACTTGGACCGCTCGGGTATCTTGGCCTACAGCACAAAGCAAGATCGGCTCAACCAAACCACAATATGTTGGCATAGGGATGAGCAAAAGGACCGAATCGACCGGAACCGGCCCGAACTGGACCCGTCCCGGGAACCGGCTTCGGCCAAAATCAAGAACCGAACCGGCCCGGCGGTTCTACCGGTTCCTGGCTCCTACCGGTTCTTGTCGTGTCTTCAAATGTTGGAACCGGTCCTCGAAAAATAGCATCATACGGTTCCGGTTTTTGCCGGTTCTACCGGTTTTTGCCAGTTCTACCGGTTCCGGTTATATCGGTTCCGGTTTCTACCGGTTCCAGGTTCCAAAAATCCACAAAAATAACGTCCCGGACCCGGCCCGACCGGTTCCATCGGGTTCCGGTTCCGGTACCGGTTCCGGCCGGTTCCCCGGTCCATATGCTCATCCCTATGTTGGCATATGCAAACAAACAACAATAATTAGCAAATATAGGTAACCATACAGATCTACCAGACTAACAGTTCACTACAGTATAACAACATCCTACACATAAGGATTCATAATGCAGTACAAAGTATAGTGAGAAAACTCACATGAATCTAAGAATCCAAGTCTCACATACAAAACTCTATAAGTTAATCAACCAGCACGAACCACCTTCTCGATCTTTGTCTTTTGTACATCTAATTCTCCTATGAAACCAAACGTATACCAAGAATATGTAAACTAAATATTATGACATATCACCCCTTTTGGTTAATTAACTAACTCATTTAACCCAACTAAAAAAAATATTAATTCATGTTAATTTATGTGAAATAGTCCACCAAGTTAATTTCCAGCTAATGGTTCCATTGTTGATCATCTTATTCTCTCTTAATTCATGAAACATATACATAGCTTGTGAAATCAGATCACATTTAAGCCCACAAATATAATAACTCTTAATGTTAATAATTGACCCAAAATGAAAAGCCCAAAACGAGACTACCTAGCCCATGAACATGAGTTGCGTTGTCGTTCTACCTTCTAGAGACTCTCTACTCCTCACATTTCTTCTCCCTTTTCTCTTGTTTCGTTTTATTTTTCTTAATCGGAGCTAGCGATCTTCACTGAAAACTAATTGCACTTGAGACAACCAATTCAAAATTTTGTTTGTTCTCAAAACGTATGTCGGAAAGCAATATAGTTGAAGTTCTTTATGTCGACTCTTCCTACCTAGATTGACTTCTTAGTCACAAAGTGTTGTTAGCTGGAAGGTAACCAAAAAAAACGATGGAAATATGCAGAAAACTTAATCACATTAATGCTAGACTCACTAAAACCCACCCCCTTCACCCTGCATATTTGTCGGAGCTTCATACCGGAGGCAAACAAAGAATTCGACTCTTTCTCTTACTACTTTCCTTTGTCTGATAACATTGGAGAACGTTACTTCCACTATCCCACTTCATCATTCACTACAAGAAAAATGACTTATAGCCACAGTTTTTAAGGCATAAAAAATACGACCATATCCTATGGTCACACTTTATTTTTTTCATCAAAAGTGTGGTCGTATGTCGTGACACCCTACGTATCTTATGGCCACATCGAAATCCAACATTTAAAAGTGTGAATGTAGCATAAAAAGTGTGACGATTTTGTATGGGTTTAATGAAGGATTTTATCGAATATGTGGTCGTAAATACTTTTTAGACACAAATTTTCGTTAATGAAGTGGCGATAAATGCCTGTATGGCGACAAGAATTTGTTTATTAGTGTGACATTTATTATTATTTTGTGATGCATATAAAACATATAAGTATGTTTATAACCTTTAGTCACGTATAAAGTGACACAAAACTATTTTTAATCATGGTTAGTTTCTAAATGATGTGGCCTTTTGTCACCCTTTAGTGACATTTATTTATGGTAAAGCGTGACGTATGATATGTAACGCTCGCAGATTCGGGCTAGACAATTAAGATATAATGAACGATAAAACGTCATATTTATAGAAGATTATTTAGGACAAATAATCTTAACCAAAGTTATAGTATATGTGACAAGGATTCTGTACATATAAATAACTCTTAAATCCGACTTCGTATGAAGAAGTTATGCTTCTTCGAAGTTTCGCGATTTTTCTAAATAGCCTAAGTAGTCTAAACAAAACTCGTATTAATCATAAAACATAGAGCATGCATATAGAGAACGTTCAAATCTGACTTTGTAAGAGTAAGTATGATTTTTCTAATATTTCAGCGTAACAGTGTTAGCACAAAAAATCGAATTTTAGATAGGTTGATTGTTAGCTTAAACAATCTAAACGAGAGTCGAAGATCTCGTTAATAGGTGTTCGTCGATATAAAGACAGACAATAACGGATGTCGTATGAAAAATATATGATTTTAAACGAATTTAGCAGTTTAAGTCATTTAAAAATAATAAATTAAAAATACAGTGAAAATTAGCCGACGGAGTCTAAACAAAAGGTGTAGATATCATTGATAACTATGAGTGGACATAAAGAACGTCAAAAACAGAGTTTGTATGAAGAAGATACGAATTTTTGAAGTTTCCCGGAGTGCACAGCGCGCAAGCTTCTAGATGCTGCCACATCGCACCAACCGACGAACGCTACATGTCAGCAAGTGTTGGATTAGTGTCTAAGTCCATAACTATATTTGGAATGTACTTGACCCGGTTTAGCATGGTCATTTTGGGTTACCTTCACCAAAGCAACTTGACAGGATTATTCATGGAGAGAGAGGATATTATGGTTTATTAATATATTATAAGAATAATATATTAAAAGAGAAATGATATTATTTAATTAATATTAGTCATGAATTAATTAAGAATTAATTTGGTAGCTAAAAGAGATTAATTAAATAAATAGGACTGGAATTGCAATTATAAGATAATTGAGTTTTGGGCTGAGAACCCTTGTGGATTAAGGGGGACGAAATTAGATGGGAAGCCCATCTTATTTTCGTCCAAGGGCCTTATTCTGGAAGGTTCTTTAGATTGTTTAAGGTCTAAGCTATCCAATTAGGGTTTTGACTGAAACCCTAGCAGCTCAGGTATAAAAGGACCCCTAGGGCTAGGAAAATCGACCACTTGATCCCTTGGAAGCTTGGAGCCGATTTTAGCCTCTCATCCACTCTCTTAAACATCATCCTTTTGCCTTGGTGCTTGTAAGACATTAGAGGCATCACATTTGAGGTGCTTGGTTCTCACAAGCTATTGAAGATTCAAGTTCCTTACTACAAATCAAGAGGTAACACTCTTACTAGTTATTTATGTAGATCTAAAGTTTTGTAGTATGCTAGATTAGGGTTTCAAGTCTTGGATGAATTGCATGTACAATAGAGAAACCTAGATCCAAGCTTTAGGGTTTTGCATAAGCACATAGGATTGTTCTTTTGTATAAAACTCATAAGTGGTATCAGAGCCTTAATTGGTTTATGTTGTATTTGATGCCTTGTATGTTCATTCTTGCTTGGAAAATCGTTTTCTGCCCTGTGCCCGACTGAACTCGACGAGTCACTTGTTGGACTCGGCGAGTCAGCTTAACTCGACGAGTCCAGTCTGTGACTCAGCGAGTCCGGGAGTCAGACAGAGGGAATTTCGGGATTTCTGCCTATTTTGTTGTGGGATAATTACCAAAATCGTTTTTGACTCATAAAATCCGAATTTATTATTATTATTATGTAATTATCATTGCCAAAATAAAAGATAACTTCAAATTAATTGAATAATTATATCCTTATATGATAAAATTTGATTATTTGAATTATTTGATGAATTATATTGCATGAAATTAGATTAGGTCAAAATTAGATAACCACCAATTAATTGTTTAATTGAATTATTTGAATTTTGATATGGAAAGATTTTGATAAGTTTTGAAAAGTTTCAAAACTTTCCCTCAAGTATTGAAATTTAAATTTTTTGATTAAAAGTTTAATTTTGAATTATTTAAATTTCAAACCCTAGAATTTTACAAGTTTAAAATTCAACCTTATACTTTATTTATTATAAGATTAATATATATATATATATATATATATATATATATATATATATATATATATGTATAAGATTAAGCTAGTCTTACCGTTAGTAGGCCTCATTCACGAAGCCGGTCTATAAGGGGGGGGGGTATAAGGTTGATGCCTATAAAATGGCAGTTTAATGGGTGTCCACTCTCACCCACCTCTTCTTTGATTGGTAGAGGGTCGTTAGCTGAACGGGTAGGATAGGGCAAGTAATTCCTCATTATAAGTATAATGGATATTACAAAGTAACTAAATGTTTTTACAAATTCTCAATCTTAGTTACTTTAGGTAAAATATGAAAATGATGCTATTCCATGGAATTACACTTTGTACCCTTGCTAAGACGTTAGTGGAGTGTATGTGGTTAACCGACACACTAATTTGGGATTGGCATAGGTGGCGAAGGGTGACTCGATGTTTGTCATAGATCAATGGAGTGTGTGTGGCTAATCGGCACATTGATTAAATGATAATGACATTGGGTGCACCATGTACATTCGCATGGTTATTCACACCTTGTTTGTGATCCTCGGTATCCCAGTCACAAACTTGAAGGGCATATCGAGATTTAAAGATGCCATTGAAAAGTTCAATGAATCTCAAAAGATGTAGGAGTTTTCAATACATTTAAAACTTAATCTCTTTTTCGTTTTTCATGGTGAAAATTAGTGAATCGTCATTCACCTATCTTCAAGTTATTTGTATGTTAGATTACGACATCCTTTTTCTAATTTGTAAATAATGTTGTTGGATTCTAGCCCTAATTTCTCATCTGGGTGTTTAATTGGGGATTCATATCTAATCAAACTTTGTCCCTTTTCTATTTCAGATGTCTAACGCGAACAACAACGCTTCTGGTTCTTCTGGCTCGTTCTCATTCATGAATTTGTGTGGGAGGGTGATATTCGATGGATCCAATTTCAACGATTAGATCTGCAACATTCGAATGGTCACTCGCTATGAGGACAAGAATATTTCCTTGACGAGAAGCTGAAGGAAATCAACATCAATACCGCTACTGCTGAAGAGATCGTTGCCTATGAGGCCCATGAGCGTGATGCTACGAAAGTCCATTGCATCATGCTAGCGACTATGACTACTGAACTCCATAAGTCCTATGAGGACTTCTATCATTTTGAGATGCATCAAGATTTGTTGGACCAGTACCACCAAAGCGCTAGGCAGGAGAGGTACGAGATCATCACTTCGATGATCACTACCAAGATGGGGAATGGAGAGTCCCTTACTGCTCATCTGCAGAAGATGCAGAGGTATGTTAATCGCTTGCCGAAGTTAAATGTTAACTTCGATGAAGAGTTGGAAATCGACATTATTCTCCACTCCTTTCCTCCCTGCTACAACCAGTTCCGCATGATCTACCACATGAACAAAGAGGAGGTCACTTTGAGCAAGCTTCAAGGCTTGCTGGGGACTGCTGAGAGCAACCTCAAGGATAAATCTGTTGCATCAAATCCTGCTGTTACTGCCCCTGTCTTGGCTATTGGGCAGGGAAAGGGTAAGAAGAGGAAGGCTCCTTGTAAGAGCCACCAAAAGGGAAAGTCCCATGATGGTTCCTCTTCTAGTGGGACCAAAGTTGGTTCTGCTACACCCTCTTCCAACCCTAAGGATGCAGAGTGCTACTACTGTCATGAGAAAGGGCACTGGAAACGAAGCTGCCCAAAATATCTGCAGGATATCAAGGATGGGAAAATAAAGCCAAAATATATGCAGGATATCAAGGTTGGGAAAATAAAGCCCACCTTCGCAGATATGTATACTATTCAATCTAACAACTCATCACATGCTATTTCATGGGTTCTCGATACATGATGTGGTTTTCACATTTGTTCTGATTGGCAGGGCCTAAGAAGAAGTAGGGATGTGGAGCATGGAAAGATAAACTTGATCATGGGGAATAGAAGAGCATCGCCTGTCACCAAGATTGGAGTTTACTCTTTGATGCTTAGTAGTGGGTTAGGAGTAGATTTGAATAATTGTTGCTATTCGCCAGAAATGGCAAGAAACATCATTTCTTTTCATGGTTTATATAAACAAGGATTTAGATTTTCGTTTGATAATGAAAAGGGTTCTATTAATGCTTTCTTTAATGGTGTTTTCTATTTTGAAGCATTGCCTTGTAATGGAATATATGAGACTGTGTTGGTTGTAGACAACTTAGGAAATGATGTGTTGCATATCGATTCGTCCAATAGTTTGGACAAAGCATGCTTGTGGCATTGTCGTCTTGGGCATGTTAACAAGAAACGCATAGCCCAACTCCAAAAGGATGGAGTGTTGGAGTCATTCGACCTTAGGGACGATGACATGTGTGAGTCTTGTTTGCTTGGAAAGATGACCAAGTCACCATTCGCTGGTACTTGTGAAAGGGGTGAGGGTTTATTGGATCTCA